AAGTTTGACATTGTGACACATGTCTTTAACATCATTTGTTAGTTTTTAAATAAAACACACATTCCCGCCCATTTCAATTTGAAATTCAATAGAATGTAAACCACAATGTACACAAGAGAATGTACAAGTCGTTTTTATCCATATTTTTAGGGCATTGAATGTAATTGTATTCAATATGCAAATTTAGCACACAAAAAGACCGACTTAATAATAAATTTTGAAATTCAACTAACGTATTAAATCACCATAAATGATATATTAAATTGCATTGGGCTGATTGAAAAGTAACTCTAAGATGTTAACATCATTACTTGCCGATGATAAACTTTTTTTTTTTAAAACTTGAATAATGTTATTTAACCAATACCGTTAAGCATCAGTGTATGTGATAAATGTATGATCTTAAATGATAGGTTCACTTAAATGTAATGTCCCGTGATTCTTTTAATTGAATATATCGAATATGACCACATAAACTGGTGTTTAACACCATTGGTCTCAAATAACATTATTCGTAAATATTCCCATCAAACAAAGTCAATGATTTTGCCCGTTTAAAATTTTTTTCTCAAAAACAATTTATAATAATTTGAAAATGATCAGAGCCATGGTCCCAAATCTTTTCAGTTTTAGCGTCTTTTATGTAAATTTTTTATCTGTAGCAGCGCTAGTACCAAATATTGCAAACTTGTGTGGCAAAATAACATTTGGACAGTTTCCATACAAAGATTCGTTATTTGACCCAAAAAAATCAACATTTGACCATAATTTGATCGATTTTAAAAAGGGTGTAACTGTATTTCAACTATGTATTAATTCATAGAGGTAATTTGCATTAGAAATCCCAAATTTTCAAAAATGTTGCAACAAAGGTCCAACATTTAATAATTATACGCTGAAAGGACCTCTAACGATTTCTATCTAAAAATCCGTTAGTTGACAGAACTATTAATCTTATCCAAATCATACAACCACCCAACGCCTAAGCCCTAATCCACCAATTGGTAGGTGGGGAGCCTCCACTATCGTCGCTACTATCAAGTTTGAAGATGATTTATTTATCTTTATTAATTTCTTCCCCATTCTTTAAATGTTCTTATTAGGAGGAAATTGAGTTGATGGATATGGAGAAAAAATGGGCTCAACGAAAGTGAAGGAAATGAGGCTACGGCGATGGTTGACGCTAGTATGATTTCAGCTCAAGTAATGGTGGTTGTTTAGAGGCTCATCGGTCAAGGCATGGGAATTTGCTATAAAAAGTTGTTTATTCGAATTTAAACGAAGTTACTCATCAACGATCCATATAAGTTTCACCAGTGTTACATATAGCGAAGTTTAGTGAGTAATGAGTAATTTTGTTTAAATCTAGGTGAATAACGAGTAACTTTCTAAATTTTAACTAAAATAGTAACATATAACAAAATTCAATGATCATTAATTAAATTAACTAAAAAAAAACATGGACATCCTCGAAGTGAAAATGAAGATAACGGATAACCATTCAGGAAAAACCAACATACACGAAATTGAAGAAAAAAGGGTATCTCATAAAAATTAAAAATAGAACAAAAGGTATTTGATCAAACAAATATATGTTGACAACATCAAGAGAGTTGATTAGGGCTGTCCGTGGGTCAGTTCGGTTGTGAAGAGACCCAAAACTTTCGGGTATTTGATAAATGGACCCGTCGGGTCGACATATAATTATGGAACCGTTCGGGGTCGGTTCCGTTTGGTTCGGGTCTTATTATTATTATTATTTTTGTAAATTTTGATAATAACATAAAAGTTAACTAAATCCATTTTTAATTTAAAGTTTATTTTTGTTATATAATAATGAATAACCTAAATAAAAAAATAATTCAGTTCATTAAATTCGACAATTAACATTATACAGGCAGAACAGTCAAATTTTTGAATTGTCAATTAGCATTTATTGACAATATGATTTAATGGAATCAACCTCCATTTGAATCACCTCATATGATTGTTACTTCATTAATGAATAATGCCTAGGAAAGTTGGAAGTTGCTCTCTTATTGCAGTTGTTTGTAAAATTATCCATTATCGAGTTCAATTCACCATGCTAAATATATCTTAAAGTAGATTGTATAGTACTAAACTTACTTTTATAAAAAGTTTAAATCTATTTATAACACTGTTAAATATTACTTCCCAAGTATATTTTGGGTGTGCTGAACAAAAACCACGATCGAATTCCTAATCCCTACACGTGTACTGTAATGACAAGTTAGCCCTTGTCGAAGAATTAGACGAGACTAAGTCAAAGTGCAGTACTACCACATCGAATATGCTCATTTCAACACGATCATTCATTCAAATATATTTTTAACTTGTTTGACTTCTATTTTTTTAAATCTTGTTATCTTGAAATAAAAATACCAATTACGGTGTATTTAACAATTTAAACTTTTTAATAAAACGTGAGTGCCGTGTCTAATGTTATTTTTTAAAGACAATTCAAGTAATCAAATCAAACTTCGTTTTACACGTCTAGCTCCAGACCTTTAACTGAAAGCAACCTCACATAGAAGAGCAATATTTTTAGAATCGTGCACATGTACATTTTATTTGACAGCAAGTTTGACATTGTGACACATGTCTTTAACATCGTGACACATGTCTTTAACATCATTTGTTAGTTTTTAAATAAAACACATATTCCCGTCCATTTCAATTTGAAATTCAATGAAATGTAAACCACAATGTACACAAGAGAATGTACAAGTCGTTTTATCCATATTTTTAGGGCGTTGAATGTAATTGTATTCAATATGCAAATTTAGCACACAAAAAGACAGACTTAATAATAAATTTTGAAATTCAACTAACGTATTAAATCACCATAAATGATATATTAAATTGCATTGGGCTGATTGAAAAGTAACTCTTAAGATGTTAACATCATTACTTGCCGATGATAAACTTGAATAATGTTATTTAACACCAATACTGTTAAGCATCAGTGTATGTGATAAATGTATGATCTTAAATGATAGGTTCACTTAAATGTAATGTCCCGTGATTCTTTTAATTGAATATATCGAATATGACCACATAAACTGGTGCTTAACACCATTGGTCTTAAATAACATTATTCGTAAATATTCCCATCAAACAAAGTCAATGATTTTGCCCGTTTAAAAAAAATTTCGCAAAAACAATTTATAATAATTTGAAAATGATCAGAGCCATGGTCCCAAATCTTTTTAGTTTTAACGTGTTTTATCTAAATTTTTTATTTGTAGCAGCGCTAGTACCAAATATTTCAAACTTGTGTGGCAAAATAACATTTGGACAGTTTCCATACAAAGATTCGTTATTTGACCCAAAAAAATCAACATTTGACCATAATTTGATCGATTTTAAAAAGGATGTAACGGTATTTCAACTATGTATTAATTCATAGAGGTAATTTGCATTAGAAATCCCAAATTTTCAAAAATGTTGCAACAAAGGTCCAAACATTTAATAATTATACGCTGAAAGGACCTCTAACGATTTCTATCTAAAAATCCGTTACTTGACAAAACTATTAATCTTATCCAAATCATACAACCACCCAACGCCTAAGCCCTAATCCACCAATTGGTAGGTGGGGAGCCTCCACTATCGTCTCTACTATCGAGTTTGAAGATAATTTATTTATCTTTATTAATTTCTTCCCCATTCTTTAAATGTTCTTATTAGGAGGAAATTGAGTTGATGGATATGGAGAAAAAATGGGCTCAACGAAAGTGAAGGAAATGAGGCTACGGCGATGGTTGACGCTAGTATGATTTCAGCTCAAGTAATGGTGGTTGTTTAGAGGCTCATCGGTCAAGGCATGGGAATTTGCTATAAAAAGTTGTTTATTCGAATTTAAACGAAGTTACTCATCAACGATCCATATAAGTTTCACCAGTGTTACATATAGCGAAGTTTAGTGAGTAATGAGTAATTTTGTTTAAATCTAGGTGAATAACGAGTAACTTTCTAAATTTTGGTAAGTAAATAGTAACATATAACAAAATTCAATGATCATTAATTAAATTAACTAAAAAAAACATGGACTTCCTCGAAGTGAAAATGAAGATAACGGATAACCATTCAGGAAAAACCAACATACACGAAATTGAAAAAAAAAGGGTATCTCATAAAAATTAAAAATAGAACAAAAGGTATTAGATCAAACAAATATATGTTGACAACATCAAGAGGGTCGATTAGGGCTGTACGTGAGCCGGTTCGGTTCTGAAGAGATTCAAACCGACCAAAAACTTTCAGATATTTGATAAATGGACCCGTTGGGTCCAAATATAATTATGGAACCGTTCGAGTTCGGTTCGGTTCAGTTCGGGTCGGTTCGGTTCCATTCGGTTTCGTACCATAATCAATTTTTTTAATATTTACAACAACACTATATAAATACAACTAATGACATTTCATTCGTAACTTTTACAAATTAACGTAGCCCAATTCAAAAACATATAAATAACTAGTCGTCCAATAAGATTAATTCAATGTATACAAATACCAAAAAGTAGATATTAATATTACAGCAACACTACATAAAGTATATTCATTTGTTTCAAATTAAAATGAGCTAATGGATTTTAAAAATGATTTGGGCTTTAAAATGAAAATTAGGAAAAAATCTGATTTATTTAATTAATTTGCAAATTTGTTTTAAAAAATAAAATAATTTAATTAATTCAATATAAAAAATAAAAAAATTATTTAGTTTCGACTCTTCGGTTATTGGTATAGACCCGAGACCCGACCAAAATCCATCGATTCTCGATTCGGGTACCCGTTCGGGTATTTAATTTATGAAGAACCGCTCGATTCGGTTCGGGTTCGGTTCGATCCGATTCGATTCGAGACTTTTGGACATTCCTAGGATTGATGATGATGGCGAAAAGAAAGGTGGGACGGGCAGTGGAAAAAGCCCTTACTCCTTTACATCAAGAAGTTGGGATTTTGAGTGTGCTTTAATCATGATGGCGTTGGCAGCCGAGATCTACCCTCAGTTTATTGTGGGTCAGGGACAATTTTGGTGGCGATTGTGTGGCTGGGCAGCATTAGGTTAGGTTGCCTTTTTGTGGGGTTGGGGTGGTGTACTACGGTGTGTATGAATGCATTATGTAAATCTTAAAAGACCACTTTAACATACATTAACTCGATCAAATTAACGTTAGACATTGGACTTTTGTTTAATTGGTAGATTTTGGATGAAAATCGTTAAAGGTCCTTCCGTCACACATTTATTATAAGGTTTTGGATGTAAGTGCAAATACTTAAAGATTGAAACCTGGATGCATATTTTTGAAAGACGCGAAACATCTACTTCAAATTTTCATGTTTTATCCTATATGCAGAGGGAATTCAAAAAAAAAAAAAAACTTTGATAATTCCTGTTAATATTTATAAATATGTTGTATCAAATGTTCTCATGGCTGGGCACTAGCATTCCATAAACATTCTTTTCTCATTTCTTATTATACTATTTCAATAGATAAGATTCGAACCATGTACTAAAAATTATGATGGTCGAAAGATTGACCACTATGACAATTGTAAATTAGTAAACTAGACAATAAATATTAGTATATCAAACTAATAGTCTTTGTTTTAATTTTTTTTTTTTTTAACTAAAATTTGATGACCCAACGATTGAACCACTAATCCGATGTTTTTTTTTTCAATTAACGACCGGATCACGTATGATAACTATGCATAATATATATTTTTATTGTTATATTTTATTAATTTATTGTGTAAAATTTAAATTTAGACAATCTTAATACTCTTTATTCTTTTAGGAGTTTCAAAAATATTTAAAAAATATATAATCATTGTTTTAAGAACTTTGCATAAGCTTCACATAAGTTCAGAACTTGTATTTACCATTTAATCATATTTTATGTATAATTTTCATTTTGTTTCGCTCAAGTTTGGAAAAACTTGATCATCCGTATATATGATTCAAAACATGTAATTTTTTCTTGTTATTTTAGATTGTTGAATTTTCAACAACGGATGTATTTTGAATCGAGATGCAAAAGAATCTATATTTCCTATCTCTTATTATTTATCCCGTAAATGAGGGAGTCTAATTGGTTATTATTATATATTAATATGTGTTTTTTAATATAATATAATTAAATATTAATAAATAATTTTTCCTATTGCAATCGTAAACGGTTAATGATCGCCCTAGCTCACTCGGCTTCCTGGATCCGCCTCTGTCTACATCTGTCACTTACAAAAATAATTATATTCCGATAATACAAAATTCTAGCATAACTATACTTTTAAAAATAATTGTATTTGGATGATATAAAATCATAGCATAAATTGTATTTCGTCAAACTTGACCTAATTACACTTTAATATTACCCGCTATATTTTGTATTGACAAGTACATCCCATCTCACAAATGCTAGAGTTTCTATCTAATGAGAATGTTAAAGGTTCTTCCGACGCTCATTTATTAAAAGGATTGGGGTTCGACCGCACGGTTTTGAAAGACTTGGACCTCTATTGCAAAGTTTCCTATTTTATCCTAACTATCTGTAACACTTACAAAAATATATTTCGATCAAACATAATTCTAGCATAAATTGAATTTCGTCAAATTCGACCTAATTCGATGGATGCAGCTCAAAGTGTATTGACTATTATTCTCTCTTCTCTTTTACTCTCTTTTCATAATATGTTATCAGGACGATAATTTAGTTAGTTTATGGGTATGTATGAGGAATTGGATAGGGCTGCCGACACTAATTTCACAGGCCACCATTAAGACTCTTCCAGCAATTTAATTCTGCATATCCAATTTTTCTTTGAACACGAATCAAGTTTGGTAACAATTTTTATGGTGGGTCGTAATCAATTATTTGCCGTTTGTGATTATATAATTATCATAATTTATTAAATACATTATTTTGTCAATTAATATATTAAATTGATGTTCTTTATTTGCGTGTTCAATTAATTTTTACATTTTTTTTTTCATATTCTTAAGTTGATACATATCGTATTGTTGATCTTGAAGAAGCACAACACCGTAAATATTAATATTGTATTAAAATATTACTTGCTCTCAAAGAGTACAAATTTATAATATCTATATTTTTGCTCCTGATGAGTAAATAAATTATTGTGGCTCTTGAAGTATCACAATATTATAATTAATATTTCAGAAGAATTGCTCCTAAAAAGTATGAATTATAATTTTCAATATTCCAAAAGAACATTGATATGTTACTCTTGAAAAAGTAATAGTCAATACAACGCGCTCTCAAAATAACACATGTTTCGAAAAATATATTATTTTAAATTAATGTTTATCCCTAAAAAAATACGTAACTTATGCCATATTAAAATTGACTGCTGACGTTTAATCATATTTTTCGAAACTAATTGTATTTCTTTTTGCTTTATTGTGAAATTTCTCAAATGGTAAACATCACAAAATTATACGTGGATTGTCAAGATATCTATTTAGTTATCTGGAGATATATATGGGTCAATACACCCATCATGTGAACAATTTCGTTATTTTATGGTATTAATTGATTCTTCTACTAGACGGTCACATATTTGCCTACTTTTCACTAGAAATGAGCTTTTGCCAGACCACTTATTCAAATTATAGAATTACTTTATACGAGCGCAATTCCCTGATTACTCAATCAAAGACTTTTAGTTTTGATAAGGTTGGTGAATTTAGATTACAAGCATTCGATGATTATTGCATGTTAATTGGAATTGTTGTTGAACATTTGATTGCGCATGTCCATACACAAAATGGTTTAGCAGAGTAATTTATTAAACATCGACACTTATTGCTAAACCATTACTTATGAAAACAAAACTTCCAACTTCTATTTGGGATCATGTCATATTACATGCTGCGTCATTGGTTCGTAATAGACCAACTGCATATTATAAATATTCACCTTTGCAACTGACATTTGGTCATGAACCTAATATTTCTCACATACAAGTTTATGGTTGTGATGTTCAAGTTCCTATTTCACTCTTATAACGTATTAAAATGGCCTCCAAACAAAACTTGAGATTGATGTGGGTTTTGATTCACCATCTATTATTAGGTATCTTGAACCTTTAAAGGGTGATTTATTTACTGTATGTTTTGCAAATTGTCATTTTGTTGAAATGACTTTCCCAACTTTGGGAGAGAAAAAATTACATCCTCATAAACAAAGTAAAATTTCTTGAAATGAAATAACTCTATCTCATTTTGATTTCCGCAGCAATCAATGTGAGCGAGAGGTTGAAAAAAATCATTTATTTGCAAAGAGTTGCAAATCAATTACTAGCAGAAATATTTCAGCAAAAATTGATGTCCCTGCAAGATAATTTGTTGTAGCAAATGAATCTCAAATACGCCAGAAACGTGATCGACCAGTTGGTTCAAAAGACTCTGTACCTCGAAAAATAAAAGTATAAGAGAAAAACCAACCAAAAACTTTAGAAGAAGTAACATTAGAAAAGATTGATCAATCAAATATTGAAAATATGGTTCCTGAAAAATCACAAGGGTCCGAAAATAATGAGATTTCAATAAATTATATGTTATTTCATAAATTATGAGAAAAAATAATGTTGTTGTTGATAATATTTTCGCATTTAAAACGACTCTTGATATTATGCAAAATGAAGATCATAAACCACAGTCTGTTAAAGAATGTCAAAATAAAAATGATTGGTCAAAGTGGAAAGAAACTATACAAGCGGAATCGAATTCCTTAGAGAAACGAAAAGTGTTTAGATTTGTAATTCGAACACCTGAAAATGTAATCATTGTTGGATAAAAATGAGTTTTTGTACGAAAGAGAAATGAAAATAATGAAATTACAAGATACAAAACCGACTCGTAGTTTAAGGTTTCTCACAAAGACTATGAATTCATTATGAGGAAACATATTTTTTCGTAATGGATACCATCATTTTTAGATTTTTAATTAATTTGACTGTGTCAAAATGCTCGATATGTGCCTTATGAATATAGTGACTGTCTATTTGTATAATTAACTTGATAGTGGCATACATGAAAGTCCCTAAAAGACTTAAAGTGCGAGAAACAAATGATACATGTCAGAGAACCACGTTGAATTGCAAAGATCATTATATGGATTGAAACAATCCAGACGCATATGGTATAATCACCTTGACGAATATTTGTTAAAGGAATGCTATAAAAATGATGATGTCTATCTATGTATTTTCATAAAGAAAACAAATATTGGATTTGTAATTTTGTCAGTTTATGTTGATGATTTAAATTTAATTGAAAATTCTAAAGAGCTCAACAAAACTGTAAATTATTTGAAAAATGAATTTGAGATAAAAAATTTGGGAAAAATAAAATTATGTCTCAGGTTGCAGATTGAACATTTCCCATAAGGATTATTTGTTCATCAATCTACATATACAAACAAAAAAAAAAAAAAATCTTAAAACGCTTTTATATGGATAATGCACACATATTGGCATGACATATGGTTATTCGATCATTTGATGTAAAAATGATCATTTTCGTCAACTTTAAGAAGGATAGAAAGTTCTTGGTCCTGAAGTACCATATATTAGTACAATTGGAGTATTAACTTATCTTGCAAACTGTACTCGACCCAACATAGCTTTTCTGTAAATCTCATTACAAGATATAACTCTACATCAACACAAAAATATTGGAATTGTGTTAAACATATTTTTCGTTATCTAAAGGGTATTATTAATTTGAGATTATTTTATTCTCAAAAGCTGGGGTCCGCTTTAGTGTGATATGCATATGCAGGTTATCTCCCTGACCTACATAAAGTTAAATCACAAATAGGATACGTGTTTACACATGGAGGAACAACTATATCATCGAAATCTGTGAAGCAATCATTGACATCAACATTCTCAAATCATTTTGAAATTATTGCAATTCATGAAGCATGTTTTGAATGTGTATGGTTAAGGAACATGACTCATTATATACAAGTATCATGTAGATTAATTTCAACAAAAGATATTCCAACAATTTTGCATGAATATAATGCTGCATGTATTTCACAACTCAAATGAGATTATATTAAAAGTGTGTTTGTGACACATTCTTTTGAAATAATGTATTATTGAATAGTAGATTGATGGAGAATGTGCGGTTAAAAATGAAGGAAAAGTTATTGATGTGATGGAAAATATGATTTTATTGAAGAATGTGTGATTGAAAATGAGTAGAAGAATGAAAATGGAAAAAATAATGTGTACCAAACAGAGCCTAAAGGTGACAAAACGAAGCATATTTCTCCAAAAATTTTTCGTACATACGAGCTTCTGAAAAATGATGACATCAATATTCAACAAATTCGTTCAAGTGACAATGTGGCTGATTTAGCCCCTATTTGGCCCCCCATTTTGGGGTGTTGAAAATTTTTGAAATAGTAATTGATGGGAGAATGTGTAGTAGAAAAGTAATAAAAATTTTTAGATTTGTGTGTAATATTATTTTATTTGATAAATGTGTGGTTGAAATGAAGAGAGAAAAAACTAATGTAATGTAATGAAAAAAATGGGGGCCAAACGGATTCTTATTTACAAAAGCACTGCCAATATCTACATTCAAGAAATTAGTTCATAAGATTGGAATGTGTCGACTCAAAGATTTTCAGTCCTCCACTTAGATTTTATCCCACTGAATTTTCCTATCAAGGTTTTAGTAAGACAACATTTATCTTTAATACTCTAAAATAACTGTACTCTCTTTCCTTCGTTTAATTTTTTTGTCCCATTAAGTTTTCATCAAACAAAGTTTTAAGAAGTCTGTTATTTTGTAATGTGTCATTAAAGGGTGAGCGTTGTAAATGATAAGTACAATCCTAAAAATTATTACCATATGATTCATATTCCTTCCCTATAAATATAATGTTTTGGTTCTCATTATAATACACACAAGTCTATTAACTTTTATTCTCTTTTCTATTTTACTCTCTTTTCATAACAATTTTAGTATTATTATATTTTTGTAAGATTTTTTTTTTCTTTTAAATTTGAAATGAAAAACGATAATATTGACAAGTAAAACATCCTATCTCACAAATGCAAGAATTTAAACAATACTTGTGTAATTGGATTTATTAGAAATTTAACCTATGTTTGACGTGATTAAAATTAGATTTTTAGTATATTTTGATAAAAATTGATAAAATATATAATTAAAAAGTTATGAATTTTATGAATTTTTAATTTAATTACATTTTTCCCACAAACTTTCCCTTTTCTACAAATAAAATTTAGGGTTTTTTTCAAACAATTCATTATTTTCTTGTCCCCTAATTTATACTGGCTCTCTTCTTCTACTATTCCTCCTCTCAATTCAAAATTTCTCTCTCTATCTTTATACAAAACACACACACACTCTCTCTCTCTCTATATCTACATCTCTCTCCCTCTTTACTTCTTCCACCTCTCACCATAATTAAAGAAAACCCTTCTCTCCCCTATTCTATATAATGGCCTTAGACTTTCAAAACCAACCACCACATACCCTTTTACATATCCATGTTACCGATGTTGTTACTTCTCAAAAAGATGGACATCACCGCATAGCTGCCCACCACTCTCTCCCGCCTAGCCACCGTCTTAAGGTATGAACTTTTATACTTCAATTCAATCAAATTTATGGTCTTTATAAGATATTTCAGCTGATCCAGTGTTTCAAGAAAACATCGAAGGAATTCTTGGAGAATCATGAGCAGAAGAAACGTACCACAGCTTGATCTCAAGTTGAATTTGTCACCACCAGCAAGAAGAAACCTCCATGCCGAGTCCCAGAGTCCATCGTCGTCATCTCCGCCGAGTTCATGCGTGTCATCGGAAGTGAACCAGGACGAGTCCCGGCGGTACTCCACCAGCCCGGAGGCCGCATCCATGATGCTTGTGGGGTGCCCCCGGTGTCTCATGTATGTCATGCTTGCAGGAGAAGACCCAAGATGCCCCAAATGCAAAAGCACTGTTTTGCTTGATGTCGTCCATGACAAGAACACCACCACCAAGAAAACAAAGAAGGGCTAGCCATATTTTTATATATGTACATGTATATCAATATATTTTAGTCCGTACCCGACCTCTACCCCCCTATCCCCACAAAAAAGCCCTTTTCATTGTCTTTCCAAGTAGCACTATTGGAGCTCCATTTCTCTCAATAGGTTCATAAAAGAGTGGAGCCTGAATAGTGCTGCCTGCTTAATATTTTTCTCTGCATTTTGAAACATCGGAAGTTGATCTGGTATGTAAGAGATTTTGGTTTTGTTTAATATTTAGTAAACCTGCCCAAATTTTCTTCTGAAGTATAAGGCGATTTCCTAACTACGTTTGTTCTTATATTGCTTTTAGTTTTTAGCATTTCACTATTGATTACTGCCCATCACGGCACGGCGACTTAAAAGTTTGGAAGGGTTTCTCTTTGCCGTTTTCATCCCGTTTTCTGTTTTCAATTTTTATCAAAACAGTGAAAATATGTTTATTTGCCTATTTTCAAAAACGAATTTTTGAAAATGAGTTTAACATTTACAAAGAAAATTGAAAACTCTAAAAAGGTCATTCGGGTGTTTTCATTTACGTCGCCAACAAAAATCACCACCATCAGCGCCGCACCACACCATCGCTGTCGCCAAAACCACTGTCGGTGACGTCGCGACCCACAGCCACAACCACAACTACAACCACAACCACAACAGCAGAAGAAAAACTGCCGCCAGTCATCGCCACACCACAGTCACAACCACTGCTACAACCAACCACCCACGGACCAACACCGGTTTCGGATCTGTTTGCTTCAATTCCTCATCCCCACAACATTGAATTATCAAATTGGCCCTTATCGAGTTTTCGGCAGCCACATAGGACCATAAGTTACATGTCAATTGCATCAATTGATTTAGAAATTGCTCCAATTTTCGAATCCACAGCCACACCACAACCACAACCACAACCACAACCACCGTCACCACCGACAGCCACCGTCACAACCAACCGCAACACCCAACAGTAGAAGAAGCTGGTCTACGGTACTGAAGGCCTTGCGAGGTGTCGTGAGGAGGGGGAATGAGAGAGAGAGAGGGACGGAAAAGAACACATTTTTCAATTTTGGTTTTTGAAAGTAATTTTTCAAAATAACAAAAAGGACATATTTTCAACAATTTCAAAATAGACACTCAAAACACAAAATTCTAAATGATTTCAAAACTCAAAACGGAAAACTGAAACACGAAGAGAACAACCCCTAATTT